ATGCTAAACATTGACAAAGTTACTTTGATCTGTACGACGGGCTGACGGCTTGTCTAATAATATGTTGATGACCTAATTTATGGTAATTTTTAACGACTTTCAGCTGTTGGCTCAGAAAGATTTTACTACACTTATAATTTTTCTCGTTAGCTTATTTTTCTCATTTTCAAGATTTTTGTCATATATACAATGGTATAATAAAGTCCTGTCTACGACCAACAGCTTGATTCCTTTTTTTTTGCATATTTGAAATGTATTTGTTGTCCACTTCATCTTGGAACAGGAATATGCTGTAGTCTATTATTGCCTATACCCCTGCTAAGCTGTTGAGCTGCTAAGTATTGCGAGCCGATTCAATAAGAACGAGCCATATAAATCAAAATCGGAACGTAGTACCAGCAACCTGACACAAAAAATGACTAGGCAGATACTTCTCATTTTCTTTGTCATACTAGATGAACGCGTGACACTTTGTACTCGAAAGAATCCCGGGCACTCTAAATTTGTTGTGACTTAAATTATCGATTAGATTTTTAAGGGAATAATTTGACAATATTTTTAGACTCTGCATGAAAACTTCGCTATAATTAAGCCGTATCTACGCAGCTCTTATGCAGATTTCAAATTACAAGAGAAATAGCCTGTCGAGAACGCTTTGAATAACTAAGGGAAAGCGAGAGCACGTATAGATAATAAAAAATAAAGACACTGATTTGCGAGTACTCAACATTCCTTTGAGGGTTTATTTGGTTAATCGTTGTTGCTACTGACTTTTAAATGCTACTTGTTAATAATTGCTTCACTCTACCTCAAATTCGTCAACTATTATAGCCTTCCAGTGAATACAGACGCTAACTGGCTCAGGCCTTATTTTTCAATATACATATTTCAATAATCTAGAACATATTAACATAATGTTAGCGTCAAACTAATTCGTTAACCTCGTAAACCCGCATTATCTGTTTAATCACATCAGTAATGTGTGTTTCCTCCATATCTCGTTTCTACTATTAACTTACCGTCCTGGGTGGGAGGCTGTTGATGTTGTTGCTTCTACGCTCTTCACTCTTCCATTTTGAAGCCGGCGTTCTGGCTGAGGCTCCGGCTGTTGGTATGAGGCTTTGTCATAGCTGTCATTGAGAGAGTTTGTATTAATGTTGTTTTTTTCAGGTGTTTCGTATAATATAAATTCAAGATAGCGCCTAATTGAAGAAGAAAAACCATACCCCGTCGCAATTATGGAGTCAGTTGGGGTTTGTTATACATAACGAAATTTGTTTTTCTTGAGCGCTATCATTTACCTTTCTAGATATTCTCTGCTGAATATATTTTTCATGTATGCACCTCACCTCACCTCACGCGTATCTCACCCTATAGTTAAATAGATGTCTCGCATATCCAGTGATTTATAGGTGCTTTTGTTCTTACTGTGGTGGTAGATATTGGCGTGCATTCAATTCAGGCAAAAACAGAAGCAGCTGACGGTCTATTCACTCGACACGAAGAAAGGAACTCTTCTATTCATGGTTTATTATGTTGCTTCGTATCGTAGCTATGTGGTCTCGATTATTAACGAGATATAATTGATTTTTATGGACAATAAAATAAACACAGTAGTTATTAATATAGCAATATTATAATTATAATACTAATCATTTAATTATCTAACGTACATGTGTATAATAAACAAAACTGAATTTTGGTTACCATCCTTATCTCTAGCCATCTTTCAGATTATTTGTCTGTTGCATTTGGGCGTAAGTGTGTGTCCCCGCCTATGTATGAATATGATTTGTATATATAATGCAGTGAACGTGCTGCACCCTCATGGTGGTATATACAAATAGCTAAAGAAAGCATTCTTAAGAACTATCAAGAAAGACTTATAATGAAACCCACAACATTGATTAGATGGATGGTTAATAATACTACCCCTCGCTTCAATAATTATTGATGTCTCGTTTTCTCTCTTTCTCCTCTTCTATATAGGAAGAGATTTCCCGAATACATTGCCCGCCAATTCACCAAAAAGCTGCAAAAAATACCTACAAATTCATAAGACTATTGTTAGAGTCTTCAATACAACTCCAAAGCAAAACTTACATAAACCTTATCTAACCAATCTGTCGCACAGGCACAAACACAATTTCGTCCGCGCACACAACTGGAAGTAATCGCCAGTACGTAGTAGCTATCAACGTCGCGCTCAACTCGAACAGGCTGTCTTCAAAGGCTGCCATCTCCGAACGGTCATGTATTCAGGTGCGCCGGCAAAGTGTAAACACGAGAGACCTTGCTTACGTCCGTTCGAAGTTAAAACGAAAGCGGTGCTGTTGAAGTAGTTTGTCAGCAGCAATGCGGCGTCCTCTCATGGTCGTCCTCTCGGATCTCTGAAATTGACGGTAGTCTTGCTTGCGCAGGTGCACCCTATAGACGCAATGTATATTATACGAAGTGTACGAAGACGTGTGCACGTCTCTCGTTCAAAACATCTCCCTTTTTCTCTCATCAGTTTGCCTCAACTTCATCTTGAGTGGTCAGCCTATTTGTTCCTACGCTGTGGATCGGATGCAGTTGGCGGTGGCGGAACGCCCTTTCTATCCAGCTCATCAATATATGCCGTTAGAATTTCGGTCCGTTCGTCGGCGAGACTTGAGAGAACTAAATAACGCCTGTCGTTTTCCAGCACTTTGAGAATGTCCTTTAAGTGGCTTTCAGACTCGTCCACGAGTTTTTTACTTCTGTAATTTTATGTAAATACCAGGAAATTGAAAATCAAATAAGATTAAAAAAGCCATTTTTCACATATTATCATGTTTAATTACGCCAAACTTTCGCTGATTTTTAAAATCGTTTTTTTCTAAATTTTTTACGCTTCGTTCTTATAAATGTCTCATGGTAACCCTATACTTTGATGTAATACAGCATTTTCCTAAAATCGTTACCAAAATTTATCAATAATAACAATAAAATAGTTCTATAAAATTTCAAATATAGTTTCAGCAAAATTAGGCAGCATCTCGGCGATGAAAACGTGTGAATTTTTCACTCAAACCTAAACATTCTATTAAATACTAGATGATGAGATTCTTTCAAGGAAATCAGCATTCTCGAAACAATATCACCTACAACCGACTTAATCCTAAAATCGAACGTGCAAATCGAGAAATACAAACTACCAATCACAGAAGATTGGACTTCACATGAAACTAGTCTGAAGCAACGCTTGTTGTAGCACTCGATGTACAACTCAAAATAATGAATGTACGAAACTTACTTGTAAGTGATAAGCTTTGTTTCAGCGAGAAGAGCTCTAAAGTTGTTCTTGGCGGTTGAAATCTGATCCTTCATCCAGTCTTTGTATACCTTCTCGCATTTATGCTCGGATGATGAGTACTTCGCATAGCGAGGATCATCCTTAATATACTTACGTGCCTAAAAGAAGTTACCAAGCGACATTAGAATATATGCCTAGATCAAAAGCATTACAGTAAGCTGCGATATTCTGGGATATTATTGCCAATTGAAGCTACAATAGAACAAATCCTTACTAGTGACGAAATTACAAATTTTATACTCCCTAGCTGCACGGGCATCTTCAAACGGGAAACGACTCAACATGCCATTGAAAATAAACTACAAATTGTACTTTGACGGGTCACAATATTACCTAGCTATGCTTAAAAAACAAAGGGATTTATCTGAATTATTAGACAAGCCGTCAGCCCGTCGTACAGATCAAAGTAACTTTGTCAATGTTTAGCATGAAGAAAAAATCTATAAAACCGGAAAAAACGCTGGTAAATCATTATGCGTTTAAAGAATAATGAGCGAACCAATCGGCAGATCTGTCACAATGTGATTATAGTAATTTTTGAAGATCCAGTGTTAAAATCGATAAATAAGTGAATTTTCATTAAAAGGATACCTTTTTTACCTGTAATAAGTGCTTTCGCATATCATGCGAACCAGATCTTATTATTATTGGCATACTCTGGTTTGTAGAGCAGGGTGACGAAAAACCGTTGACGTTTATCTGTCCCATACACGCGATTAAGAAGAACCCATTTGCAGCAGTTTTATTATAATACTGTGATATATTACATAGAAATATATAACGCGAAGGCTATATATGATAAACCATTATTTTTAGAAATGAAACATTGCCTCTTCATGGGAAACCATAACTGTTCGCAATGTATCATAATGTGTTCGTTCGTTCAACGTATGTGTACTTGCCATTTGTTGCTATTCGGATCGTGGTGTTCTTTCGTCCAACTAAATATATGCGTAGCAGTATAATAATCTGTAGTGATACTGTAGCAGCTAGGTAATACGAAGAACGTGAACTTTAGGAATTCTATTAGATGAAGGATATACTTGTAGGGTGCATTGTGAAGTGGTTGGATGGTCAAATGCCTGATATCGCTTACTCAATTTTCTATCTGCAACCTAATCACGCTCCGCTTCAGAACCTCCTCACAGGTTGATTGTAAGGTAAGTTTTTCAACAGTTTGCTGATTCATCATTATGTGCCTCATAACTGTTGAAAGAAATTATTAAAATTTGTAAGCCGTACATATTGTGAGGCGCATTATGACGCGGTTAATACAGCTATTGCCTAATCAAGGTATTATGTAACAGAATGCCAAATGAGCATGAGGGTTTTAAGGGTCTGTCTTCCGTGACCCTGAAACCTCGTGCCAGACATGAAGTGTGACTGGATGCTATAGCGAGAAAAGTAAGGGCATGACTGAGAGGTCATCTGCTGAAAAACAGGTTTCCCAGCTTACCTAGCTATAACTGATACAAGTGCGACGACAGGTTTTGTATTGGCAGAACCATAATTCTGCTCCGTATGAACGGACTGATTGGCATAAATGTCATGACGTACCTGGATCGTAATGTTTCATTGAAGACTTGAATAATATCGCAGGCTCAGAGTGTAATGACTGAAGGTGTAAAATAAGAAGCAAAATAAGGAACGTCTCCTTCAATATTGTTTGAGCAGCAAGGTTGTTCTATGGAGGACCTATTCTAAGAATAGATGTAGCATTAGACCTATTAATGATATTCAGATCCAGAGGTGATGTCTACCTTTCGGGCAGGGTGAGACTAGGTTAGATAGTTTAAATGAAATACATTCATTCGTCGCTGTTTCTCACTCACAGTTGCCAGACGAAAAGGCATCAAAGCCGTCAGTGACGGGGTAGAGAAGGGTACCCTCTATGCACAATCGATCCGCGTGCACGCGTGAGCTATGGATAAGTAGGGACCAATGTTAGGTCTGTAAGACAACTAGTGCGTTTGGCCTTCAATTTCACTTTTCCAAAGGTTTGCAGCAGTAAGAATTTCTAAGCACGTTGCCGGAAGACGTGCGCAGTGAACTTGTGTTTAATTTAGGTAATTGTGTGTTTCACCGGCTCATGTTTCATGGCAAACGTGCCCGCGGTAAGCGGTCGTGCAAGCCGATTAGGCACACCGACTCTTCTGGGGGTTGGGCCGCCGTGTGTAGCACTTGGCGACCAGAATCGCACCTTTCGCAGGCACCCTGGCAGTCCATGCGTGCACGTTTGCCACTGCAGCAGATACAAAGTACGCCTTACGAGCAACTCCAACAGGTGAACTCGACAAGGTTTACCCATCCTCTGATTCAAACGAGTGTTGCTCGACCGAACCAAATAGACACTTCTCCTGTTACTGTACTAAGTGCGCAACATCCGTCCACATCAGGCATTGTCGTCCCGCCTTGCAGCAATGGCCAGCATCAAGATTTCATAAATCTTTCTTCACCGTCAAATCCAAATCTACCGCAAAACCTACAGGAAGGGAGCAGTAGTGCCTTTAATGATATCAATCACCAAAAGTCACTCCCCTTTGGATCGATAATGGGGGTTCTTCTGTGCTCATGTGGAGCCTCTCTGTGCCCTTCATTTGGTATCCACCGGTGTAACTGTGATAGTCCTTTGGCCACTGTGAATACCGCTGCGAATAACAGTGACGGTAACAACACTGACATAAGCATTAGCCAGTCGAGACATCCCCAGTCGACACCGTTTCAAAGTGGAAATCACCAAGCTGGAACACCTAGCAAAAGTCGAATTCGGGGACGGAACAATCAGAAAAGCCAGCAGCTACAAAGGGTGCAATTAAAACAGGATGGTGCATTAACAGCGCAAGTTCGACCCATTAATAGCAATATTGTCAACGGCGTAAAGCAGACGCGTGTTGTTACCACGACCCGGAATGTACCTTGGCCTTTCTTCGGACGCAGGACTGAACAGGTTATTCACACTTTCGCTTTAATTCGATACTATACAATATTATGGAGAGGAATGAGGTGAAGTCGAATAGATCAGGCTAAACGGTTTGTTAACACCGTAGCTTGAGATTAAACAGAAAAAACTCAGTTGTTCGATGCCCGTGATACACGTCCACAGAACAAGTTCTAGACCAAAACAAGATTTATCGACGTCTGATATATTTATAAGCACTAATGGGTCGCAATGGTTCGGGAAGAAATGTAGTTTATAAAGCTACCATGAAATAAAAATGTTTGATGTCCTGCTACCTAAAGTAATTGAAAAATATTTTGGAAAGTGTTAAAAGATGTTTATTGTATCGCTGAGGTTGACACCTACGTGTGATTTCCCTGTCGTACTTGAATACCAATTTTAGTGTTGTCAAGAACTAAACCTGCTAACTTATATATTCAACAGGGACACAAGCTTGTGAGAAGCATTTTCGTGAAAATTGTCCTTTGAGTATATTTATCTTAAACTTTTGTTCGAAATATTGATAGTGCTAAAATTAACTATGGATAATACCATCAATTACAATTTGAGTTTTTTATCGAAGCACTTCTGATCTTTCTTGATAGATTATTCTTAGATTGTTTCCGCATAAATTGTTACATAACGTATCCAAAAATGGCGTCATTAATAATCTTATTCAAAACGTACTCAAGAGCGAAACTGTTCTTAGAAATACTTCAGTACTAGTGAAGTTTACTAGCAAAAAGCCCCGAAGCCCTTCAAGTCAATATCCCGGTTGCTGGGGAAAGAAAATAAACCGAACTTCGTAGTAAAAAACGTTTCCCTATTTTGTATTTTTTTCTCCAAATCTGCCAAGCGCTTTGCAAGACTTTTTTAGGCAAGAATAGAAGTGATAGTTCACATTTGAAACGTATTCGATCAAAACACTGAGACTATCCATCATCGGAAGAAATCCCTGAAGTAAAAGAAACTGTCGATTCTACGTTCTTGCCAAAGATTTATATTCGGAATACCCTAAACTTAAATAAGCCAGCTAAATATACTGACAAAGCGTGACGGAGAGAAATTTTAATTTACCTCTCATTTATCTCAGCAAAAAAAAAGTTTTGATTGTTGCTCCTTTGAGAAATTTTAGAATTGTGGAGGATCTTATCAGTGTTAGTAAATTCAGCTTAATTATATTGATCAAACAATACACAGGCAACTTCTTGAAAAAAATGTCTCGTTCAGGGTCATGAAATTCCGCGTAAAAAGCTTTAGTTTTACAGCTACAACTTCTTTAAAAATAAGAAAGAGGGGGTAGTATATCGAATAGAAAGACATTGTTTTGTATGAGGATGTAAATAGTAAATAGAAAAGGCTTAACAATTTATAAGACAAGGATTTGAAGGAAAATGACCTTCATACATTTACTGTCGGATGACGGGTTCGCATCTGAGGTCTGATAAACCCATGTGCAACCTGTTCTACTCTTAATGCAGCCTTTCCTGTTCCTTCATCCGAAGAGTAATCCTACTTAAAAAAAAACTTTACTTCTTTTTGTAAATGTGTTTATTGAGCAAAATTTCAAAAAGCATATCTATCATTTCTTTTTTAACATTAATTTTAAACAATGGTATAATCCTTGTATATAGGATATAAGCCTTATACCCAGACCCTCCCATAGATGAAGCTCGCATTCAGGTAGTTTTTTTTTTTTATTTCGCAACAGTAAACTGCACTGTGTATCACCTCATTTGTCCTAAATTGTCGCGTGCTGCAATTTGCCATTATAGTGGTTTTAATTCTCCGATGTTATCCTACACCGTCCTGCAAAACAAATCAGGCTAATGACATTTTTGCTGTGAATGATTGAAGATAACAAAATTTCGAGAAACAAACGTGGTTTTTTTTCGGGTTCAAATTGACATTTTTGAGGCAACAGAGTGCGCATATTATGAAGGATCCAGACAGACACTTTCCCTCAAGAATAATTTTCTGCGACGCTCGAGCACTTACGATGAAGGTGAGGTAAACCATTTACGGGAACAAATTTAGTGTATGTTAGAAGTGCACAAATGTAGTGAACATTTCGATAGAAGCCAAATGTAGATTTTTTTAAATATACTTTATAATTTTGTATTCTGTCCCACATTCACATGGGTAAACTTGAGGTAACGCGACTAGTTTGCAAGTTTTCGTAATTTTTTTTCAAAGTATAATGTATTCGATTTACAATTGCTATATTTTTAGCTTTTCGTGAGCGGGGGCACGGCATTTCCGTGCGTTCATATACGGCCTGCAGAGCTTGTAGTCGACGTCCATTATTCGTTGGTGGTGGACCTTGTACCTCGCGACCCTCCATTGGGGTACAATATCAGTACGCCAAGCGCTCGTTACCTGCCGCCACTAAATTATCTTACTGGTGCTACCTGGATGGCCCATCCATGGAAGCTGCACCTTGAGACAATTGTCCATGCTGTTCAAGCTCCTAAATTAGGTTCTCACGGGGTAGACATCTGTCTGCCTGACGGAGAATATACGCCAGTAATTAGACTGTTCACAACCAGAGCACATACGGGCTTAACAGGTAGGCATAATATTTCGTACTCCAGGGAACGGTTTATTAACACTTTCATTTGATTCACAAATAGTTATGAACACTTTGAGGTTTTTTTTGCCATGATTGCACTCTCTAAGTGTCGATACTCCTGCCAAACCAAGTGTCATAAGGTTCTCAATTATATATAAGTAGAAGTAAAGAGAACAATTAATTCCACCCGGGTAAGTTTAAGTTGCTCGTACAGCTTGAAGCCGAAATTGTTAACATTAAGAATAACTTCATCTCAGAATAACTTCAGAAAGGAAGCCACCATTAACTCGGTCTGACTTGACGCGGGCGTACCCTTGAGTGCAAAAAAAAAAACTTGTCAACCCAATATATAACATCATTAGACTTGTTTTTTCGCTTTTGTGTGCCTCGTTTTCAGGAGGCCATCCTTCGGACATGATTGAAATTGGCTTGCGTTGGTACCTCACCGATCACTCGTTTGTGAAGGCTTCTCTTCCTGGTGCCGAACAGCCCGTATTGTTTCGTGCACGACGACCTCTTAGCTCTCAATACCAGCAGAGCGGCGTTATGCCGACAGTGAGATCACCTGCACCTTCTTATATGTATTTACACAACACGGGCGGAGTTTCCGCTGTTCCGCGTGGGCATCTAACTGTTGTTGCTTCAAATGCGGACCTACCTGCAAACGCAAATCACGTTCCGACCGAACGCTGCCATAGCTATCTTAAGACCCGCTGGTAAGAAGCACCCTGTTTTCCCTCTTGCATGTCTTCTTTTACGAGGAACCACAAATTATTGCAGCTGCCAAGAAACGGTAAATAGGGCCGGCATTAAATAAATGGCGTTCAATCATAGTGTGCAAACTACAGGTTTTCTGAATATGAACTGAAACCATTTTTTTTCTGAGACTTATGTTAGAACGTGATGTCGAAATTTGAGCGAAATTTTAAGCATCTTTTCGATACTCAATAATACATCATTAATAAATGGTTGACTCGCTCAGTTTAAGGGGTCTACTGCAAATTTGACGTGCTGCACACAAATGGTTATCTCTCCAATCACCCAGACAAAGCATGTGTCAACATTACCTACGTCTTACACAAAGCGTTTACCCGACGTACTAGTTTGTTTAGTACATTTATTTGCTTTAATTTGTACTGTAACGTTCTCGACCCTTAAAGTCTAGCTTCACCGATTTCTCATAAATGCAGAACCACTCGAAGTATCTGAAAAAGCACTTAAGTGACTTAAAATTTTCGACTTTGCTTACTAAAACAAGCCCTTTCGAACTTGTCTGTGTTGTAGGTTGTTATCATCCGAGGAATCGCGAAACGAGAATCTATTGACGACCCCGTCGGCGATAAGTGGGTCAGTGTATAACACCTTAAGTTCAAAGTCATCCTCTGTAATCTACACACCCGAGTCCTTTGCTAGCGGATCTTCAATGAATGCATCGTCCGTTTTCTCGGAAGAAATCGCTCGCAGTTCTAGCGCCCTGACAAAGAATAGCAGTGCGCCATTCATGTCTGAAGATCCAGCTCTAGTAAACCTGTTCAATTCATTTTTCCCTCAAGGATTTTTCGATGACGACCACAGGCATCACCCACCTTAATCATAAAATGAACGAGTTAATGAAGTGAAATCTGTATGTAGCACCTGCGGTAGAGCGACCACTACCGTACAATAGTAGTAACTGTAATAGCATTAGCCTTCGTGGAAGCTTCTGGAAGATTGGAATCTCTAAAGATTCCAATCTTCCGGGCAAGACACGATAATGGAACTAGTACGACGGGTAATAATCGGAATAGCGATAGCAAGTTTTTACATTTTTGTTGCAAATACGTTGACCACGCTATATAGAATTGTGCTATTGCAACTCTGCTGAGAGTGGCATCAACTTAAGTGACCTTTGAAAAAGAGTAAAACCCATTTAAAGTAACATTTTTAAAGTAGAACCTACGAAATAAGGTAGAACTGGCTGTTAAGTAACTGTGTAGTAATATTTTCACAGTGCTTATGCTATTGTGATAACGGTGGATAAAGTTAATTGTAAGTGCAAAATTAGAAAAGGCTTATAACGCTGTTCGATGCAACGGTATAATCCAATCCTACAACAGTTATATGTGGTAACATTAAAGAAAAGATCATTCGTTCAAAGATATTAGCTTGTCTCATGATACTGTAATGGACAAAATGGTACTCACTAAATGTTAGATTGTATGGTATTTCAAGATGTAACATTATTTATATACTATAAGCGTTTTGAGAAAGGGGAAAGCACATAATTTTATGAGTGAAATAACTTCTTTAGTTCGATATAGAAGGTTTACCATGGCATCTTTGTCATTACTGACTGAGGTCTATTCTTAAGCAATTATATGGGAGAAGAGGTCATTTGCGCATCCATATCTTACGATTTTATACATTTAGACTACAATGATAATTTACAACGAATGTTATTATATAATCCTAAGGTGTGACGAGTCAGTTCATTAAGTTCAAAGGCAAACCTAGCAGTAACTAGGCAGGCTATTAATGATAACAGTTAGAAAAGGATGGGTCAACAATGAACTACTCAAGATGTAAGTGGCTAGAAAATGTTAATTTACTATATTATATGTCAAATAGTAAGTGGTTCGTTTCTTATACAAAAATGATAGACGGTACAATAACTCGCTTATTTGTCGATATAATAGTCGACAATAGCAGCCTCATTTGTCGAATGTTCACCGTACGTTAATATGCGCGACATTTCATTTAATTGTCCTTTTAACACCAATGTAGATATATTGCCTTGGAAAACAGGAAACAAGCTTACAATGTAAGCCTAAAATACAAGAAAAAAAATGTAATTACTACTCGAGAAAGAAAAATTGAAGCAATCTGAAGAACGCTACCAATAAATCATACCGAATATAAATACGTTGTTATTTCATGTCGAAGTGTTGACCGAAATCTAAAACCCTCTGATATATCAATAAATACAACAATGAGACTCATATATTGGTCTAAGCGATAAAACGCTGAACGCAAAATTTGTGTCGTTATTAAATTTGGTTACATAAATTGCAAATTTAGCGGAATTTTGCACTGTTTTTGTGACGAGCCTGGGATATAGAGGCAGTGCTTCAAGTTTTCCTCCGGTCCGTTCTATTCCTTGCCGTTAATTTTTCATAATAAGGTAGTTAATTACTTCGAATCAGACCAATGGAATTACATACTGTACGAAAACGCAGTACTATTATAGACAATTTAACGATACCCAGTTCATGTCTTTAGAAGGCCAGCTTAGGTGCAATGTAAAGAATTTTTCATCTTTTTGCCATCAATCACGCGTGGAAATAGATATTGCCTTATGGTTACAAGCTCATCGATGCAGCTAGTACACTACGTAGAGAAAATTTACGAAGCATTTACTACAAAAAGAAAACGTTTAGTTATTATGGAAAACACGATAACGCCGGTGGTGCGCAAACAAGAGATCATTTTTTCTGTTGTTTAGATCTAAGCTTGTTTAGAACTTCCTATAATGTCTATAGGATAGTACCTAAATGTGCAACTGAATTCGGGCCCTTAGCTAGATTATTTCAATGTCGCTAATTCCAGGAGCAAAAATAGCTTGTTCGTAATCAAGTTTAACGGTCCAATTAAACCTTCGAACCACGTTCGTGTAGTACATGCGTTGTTTAATTACTGCTCTAGCGTCGTAGTTTGTTTGACGGGCTGTGCTTATTAGAGCGGTATTACTGATTGCACCACATTGCGCCATAAGATAAATACACGCAAACGAAGAACAACGCCAAAAATTACAGTAAAACAGTTATAAAATACCTGATCTTTTCCAGGCTTAAAAGGATAATTAGTAAGTGGAAAGGTCTATTGTAACTACAGAATCTTTCTAAGACTCGGTGCCTTGGAAAGACTAATTAAATTTATTAAATTGTTAAATTTATGGCCTTATGATGTGATACGAAGTGAACTAGATTTAAAATCAAAAAAGCTAAACATCGTGACCATGGAATAACAACGGGTCTTCGCGAAACGTTAATGCAAATCTACATTTACGTCCTACGAGTTTAAAACGTTAACGTCGTGAAGCTAACTAGCTGTTCTCTGGCGCAGCAGTTTGGTTCTGTTGGAAATTTATTAAAATATTGGATATTAGGGCATTTGCTAATCTAAATATTGAATCTGTACCGAATTTAGGATCTTTCCCACCAGTAATCGTAGGTATAGCCTAGGTCAATGGGCTTGGCAGTTCATTGCATAGAATTGGAACCGAAAGCTGTATAATTTTAGATAACACTCTAACCTAATTGTTTCGGCAATGCTCACTTATGGAACGGATGCCTCCATTTGTGGTGACTAACCTTAAGTGGCAGCATGGCTACCGCATCCTGGATGCGTGGAACAATCCAATCCAAAATGGATACTGTCAAACGAAACTTCCCGTAAACGGTATATATCGGCGTAATCGTCAACCCTCGAGGCACTGGCAACCAAGAAACGATATGCTCAGTATTTCTAGATCATAAGTGCATCAGAGTTAGATAAACACGGGTTCAAGGAAAGACCGCCGCGAACAGTAAGTTTTCCATAACTCAAGCGATAATTTTTTTGATACCAAATCCTCCAAGCTGGCTTTACCACTGAATAAGTCGACAACATTTGATGAGACGACATCTGATCTTTAGCTCAATTATCACACGCAAATAATAATGACGCCCGATCTCTGAGAAGTGAATGATATCACAGTGTCTGTACAGTACGTTAATAAGAAGAGAAAACATCTTTTGTTTTAGGCGTCGACGGTCTGATAATATACCATCGCCCATATTACTATGCCCTTAGAAGTAGTGCCTAAGATATATACACTGGTGTATAGCTGTATTTATGTCTTCTGTAAGCTTCAGTTAAGGCCACAATGACTGTATGTATGCAGGAAAGAAGGGTTCCTTAATTCGAAAACATAAATCATGCTGCCGAGCGTTCAGAGACAACGAAGTCACAACCTTCAATGTCTGCTTGCTCAGATGATTGCTTCCCTCAAGTGGCTCAACATTCTCGCAAAGTGTACACAGGGTCGCTAGGCACACAACTTTCCGCCTATTGTAGCCTCCTACGCCTTTAAATTTCACACGTGCACAAGCGTCCTCACAATCCATTCAGTGCTGAGTGACTGACAATACAACTATTAGCAGTGTAGCGTCTTCTCTGAACAGAACAAAATTGCAAACTATCAGTAAGGACAATGCACCTGTTGCTAGCGTCAGGTAAACGCTATGGCGTGGGTAAATTTGCTTCAATCGTTTGTCTGTGCTATTCCAGCACAATGCTGTGATATGTTACATTTCATTGTAGAGGACGGTAGCATTATGGTTGACATATAAAATAGATCATCAGGCAATACAGACAACTAAAGATCAAAAAAGAAGACTTGTTTCGAAATTCGTGAAATCGTCCTTGACTTTACGATATTCAAAAAAAGTTTTGACTTTCACAGGTCTCACCGTTACTAATAACTGTAGTAAAGTCACAATTATAAATACTGCTTATTCAGCAAGTTTTGAACCGTACGAAAATTCATTCAATTATGAAATCTGTTCTATAAAAGCGTTCATTTTCAAATCGATGTAACTTGTGCTGAACATGAAACTCTATTTCTATCTTTATTTGAGCTCGTATTTTATTTTAGAGCTATTTATTATACTATGAGCTCGTAATTTCCTATGCACTCCCTGTATTGAGTAAATGTTTTTACTTGTGTGCGTGCCGTCGTTTCGTACTATACAAAGCTAATAGTAAAAAACGCGGCTGACGACTTTTGAGGAATACATACTATTATTATACGATTGGCATGGTTACCATCCTCTAGCACATATAGTCATTTTTTTCGGTGCAAGCAGATTCTTATTGTACCTTGGTGTTATAGTATTAACTATGTGCGTTTCATGTCTTCGCTCGATGTTTTCTGTTGGGCATTTATTCATTTTCTAAATCTTGCAGCTTTTCTCGCATTTATCGCGGTTGTGGATGGTCAACAATGTTCTTTGAAAGATAGAGGGGTATGTTTTACCTTCTTTACATAGATATATCGCTTCACGCAGCTGCGGCTATCAATACGAGGCCAATTTCTCCCACTCTTTTTCAGATTAGCGTTAATCACTGTTATAATTTCTATTTTCGTTATTAGAACAATTGCGGAACTTTCAAGGTTTAGGCTTCTGACAGAAAACTTATTAACAGCGAGCTATGCTTAAATCTTGTGTCGCGCACCAATCATGTTTATTTTAAGGCATAGCTGTTTTCCTCTAATGTGAACTCTTTTCCGTGTAGTTCAGGCAGTGTGTAGCCAATTATACCAACTGGGTGCAGGTTCAGCTAGCCCAAGTCAGAGATGCCTCAATTCGGGCAATCAGCAAGCTTCCCGAACCTTTAGATAAAGCAATCCAGTTACACGAAGCTGCTTTAAGACGGCATCTCGGAAAACGCGAAATTGACCAGCCCGAAAGCGAACTGCGCATGGAAGACGCTGCTGCGGAGAACCGCCAACGTGATGATAACGCCAGGGCTTGGGTTAAGTTCAGAAATGACGTTTGTCGTATTGTCGATAAAGCCATTGCAAACGGAAGCCGCCAGTGAGTAATGCGTACATTGTTTCATGTAATAATCACTATTGACCTTCACCTCCTGCGGCTAGGCTTACACATTAAACACAGAGATATAGAAAATAACAATCGTGGCATATTCGGTTGCTACGAAACGTATCTCTAATAAGCACGATGAGCGCCCAGGGACGCGTGAGTATGTTAGCTGCACGGAATCTCAAATAGGAATTCTAAGTGAGCTTTTCGTTTTTCAAACCTAGCTATCACGGGGGCCTTCAATAAAAATGTCCATCACCAAAAAGCATTGAATGCCTGCAATTGTGTAAAGTAACGTATTGGCAAACCAAGCTTTTAAACATGCGTTTTCGTATAGCTATGTACAGAATGAAAAATAAAAGGTTTTAAAATAGCTCATCGCTAAGTTCGCTTTAAAGCTCCGAGCTAGGGAGAGTCTCCTAAAAGAAAAGTACGTGTAAAAAGTACACGCAGTCACAGTTTGTTTAAAGCATTTGGCACAGACATGACGATAGCTGCGCGAAGACTTGTTGGTTGTTAACGGCAATGATAATAAATTGTGCAAATCTTGCATCTATCCTTTCTATATAGGTTATCGGATGGCGTGAGAATCATGGAGCATGACAAGGGCACATATGACGTCCGATCGCTCGTTTGTATCTATAGTAGCGTGAGTTCTATCAACGCTAAGGGTGACGAAGCGCTTCAAATTTTCTATAGGACGCTCCCTGTGGATCGCAGGGTTCTTTATGAAAGGGCCGTCGCATTCCAACTGTGGATCATGGCCCTTAAAATCGCCGATATCCAGAAAAATTTGGAGAAACAAGCCCAGGATTGCTATATGCTTCTCACCTAACTATCTGGAAATTTTCTGCAGCGGTCAGTACAGTAGATGATGACTACGGTAGAACATGACGATGGAGTATAGAGAAGTCAATAGTTAGTTTATACAATAAATTCACATTCGTTCGTTATGGCTGTTTTTTAAGTTGAGTTATTCGCAAGTAGACAAAAAGCTGTCAGACACTTAGCTTGCATCCGATGTCTACTGTGGTCGGTATTACCTTGACCACATACGTTTGCCTGTTTTTTTTTTAGACCAATTACACTAACTCAAGAAATACGGGATGTTTTCGTGTTCATAATTTTTCCACGTTTCGTGTTTTTCGGTGCCATATAAAAATTAGTTCATACGATTAGGATGCTAATTGTTTCGAGACGAAATTGTGTAAGCGGGTATTGCCCAACTCGTTGGAGTAAAATTTTTGGAGCTATGTGCTTTGAAATACCGTAAACTATGTGCTTAAGTGGAACTCTAGCAACGCAGTTGGCAACACACAATGGGAAACCTTAATGCGATGAATGATTGTTGCCGCTATTTGGTCTACTATAGCTGTGTAAGCTTCGATACCAGGTTTGGGGGGGGGGGGGTCAACTCAATGTATTTAAGTTACGTGTGATTTGGATGTGATGAGCTAGGTCTCTCTTCTGTTACGAACAAGCATTTGTGTCGGATTTTGACAGCCAATTAGATAGGTTTGTTCAAACTGCGGCGGAGTGTATAAAGCCATCAGAAGTATGCGCGTACTATCTCATCTCAGCGAAGACAATACAATGGGGTCACTGCAATGAGAGTCTCCTTATATTACAAGTCGAACTTCGTGTGATGAAGCATGCTTCCGATCGTACTCATTGTGTGTCCATGGAGTAAGCGATTCAGGGCGAACAACTGTCCGTTCTTCAAACTGCAGTAGTTCATCGATAATCGCGTTAACAAAATCTCTAGAATTGAAATTAATCCTGTGAACGAAAGGTACAGGTGTAATATTCGGTAATATCCATCTATATTTATATGCGCTTCTATTTATGTGCAAGCGTTACTATTATATTAAAGCAACTCTTTATAGAAAAACAAATCGTGTGGATTAGAGTTCAGGAGTGAGGATATGCGTAATCGTTAAGTATAACGTTTAGCAGTATCTAAGACAATTATTCGCGAACTACCGCTATACCTGAGTTAGCAACCATGACGAGTCTCGTTAAATACAAATGGACGCATTTATTACGGCGGCATTCAACTGTATTTGGAGGTTCATCAAACAAATGACGCATCTATGACGAATAAGGGAAAACTGCTATAGGGTAAGTAAGACCTACAACGTAAACCGGCAAGATCGATTTTGCTAAGATTGAAATGCTTCTTTCGCGGGCCAAGAACAAGGCCTACTGCAGTATACTGATGATTGACTACTTGTACCTGAAACTATGGACACGCGAAAGTGTTGCACGCTTTGTCAGTTCGGCTTTATGTCCGTGCTGACTCTGTAGCGACATGGAAATCTACGACTGACTGCAAACAGCTACGCATGTCCAAAGAAAGATCGCGTACTTCAAAAAGCTGCCTATTCGAATTATAGTTTTCTTCCATGCAAAAAACGTCTCCGAAACGGTCGGCGAGAATGCCGTCAGATGTAATAATAGCTTTGTAGGATTTTTGCATTGTTCTCTTCTAGGAAGATCTTCTGGGATTAAAACTATTAGAACACACAACATGGCTAAAACTGGTACTAGTTACACCCTTTACCCTATGTAGTCAGTTGCCTCACTGAGAAATGAATGAGCATTAATACCTAATTTATGTTAGCCGACGTCTAGTTCTAGCTATAATTATGAAGGCCGAGCATATTCGATATATGTTATGTCAAGCCACTAGAGGCCAGTGCAAACGGAAAACGATAATGTGCCAACCGGAATACTGAAATCGAACACCTACGACCCCGGTCTGTTTATAAGACCCATTAAAGTTCCTTCTGTCTGGCATTATAAAAGACTAGTGAAGACTCTGTCTCGGTAACGCCTCGCCTTTAGTGACAATCCGAGGAAAAGAGGTTTTGTCACGTTTCGTGTATGCCCCCTCCTTAGCTTTCTCAGTGTGGTAGCATTTGGTGTGACGAAGAGCGACAAACGAGCAGCTTGCTCGACCAGTTGCGTGAAGCTTCTAGAGCTGAAAACATGTGGATCGGTAAGTAGGCCTGCATAATGTTTTATTAAATTAATGTCGGATAAATAACCGGTTATCCTCAAATCGATAATGAGTGAGATTAGGTGAACGAGAAATGAATGAGGTAAAGCAGTGGCAAGCTTTGGGTACGGCCTAGTCCAGCAGGAAGCCGTGAAGGAGTAATAGTGTACGCGCATATCTTTTGAACGCTCCCAGGCCTATAAACACTGGCTTTAAATAGAGATAGACGATTTTGTGAGTCCAAGTTTTTGCGTTGGGACAAATGCTAAGCCGTGTACTTTGGATCTGAAAAAAAGGACTATTCTTTATTGATTGATAGTGAATAGCAGTGTTCTTGTGTAATAATATATGAATGAGCGGTGTGGAGCTAGTTTCCACTGTTTTCTATTGATTTTTGTGCTTTTTACGTAATGTTTTTTTTCAGTCACTTATTGAAGTCATGTTATCCAAATCTCAATATTACATTACAGGAAATATTGTTTATGAAAGATTTACGTCAAAGGCTCTTGAACTCCGTCATTCGGCGAAATGCTTGTTTTTCGTCGTGTACTCATCGCTTTATGTCGATAACATCCTACTCGCAGCTGCCGGTTAGTGTAAAATTGTAATTTTCAAGTAACACTTCACTTTTTAAACTTAATTTTTTGACGACGATAATCAAATTTGTTTAATAATGGTTGTTAATTGGTAAGCATAATGCTGGTTTTTATATATAGCGCTCATTTAAAAGTTCTGAGTTTAGATGTAATCAACTTTAATAATTGACCCTAGACTTACGAAAATCGCTTTAATAGTATACGAATCGGACATGTCAGTGCTCGAACTCCACAAAAGATCTGCCTTTCTGTTTACTGACTGAGATCGCAATACATCATTTAACCAATAAATGCGGTGACATTGTAAAATTTTTTGCTTTTTATCCTTAAAAGACTTGTCAGGTCGAAAGAACCTTTAAACAGAGCTATCAGTCATACATGACGGCGTTTGCGATACAAAGATCAGATTTAAAATCATACGGTTATATCAAATTTCGAGTGATGTCGACAGGAGGGAGAAAGCTAATTACTTCCCCCCTTTTATTCACAGCTCACTCGTGATAAGTGACCGAAAGTAAACGATACCGCAGATTTAAGTTAGCTTATTAAAGCATGCGTGTCAGTCCACATCATCGAATAAATTGCAGCTCTCAAAAAAAAATTTCATTAAATTATCGATCCATTCGTATTCTAAGAAATAAGTGGGTTTTTGTTTTTGCTGCGCCGTCCACAAACGTTGTCCACATTTTGTTAAGTGTTTTCTTAAGGATAACCTGTGTGTTGTAGAATAAAAACCGTTGAGAATAAAAAGCGTTTTTTGGACTTAGCATCCTTACAAGAAAGTACATCGGGTAAGAAGTTGGGTTTATAACGAAAAGACGATTAGTGGTTGTTCCGTAAAAATGAACGGCACAACATGCCAATGCAACTGCACCATAAATGCATATTATTTCTGTCGGGTGTGTGCAAGCATGAGATAATAATTTTAAATGACTACTAAAGTTTGTGTCTTTGTAAGTAGCATGAATTCGCTCCCTAAGGTCCACTTATAAAGCTTTTGGAGGACCGGTAGGAGGTGTAAAACTGTTAGAACAAACCTGCGACAAAGAGCCAATAAGATAAAGGCCGTGCCAGCCACTTTCGATACTTTATTATGCCGCTGAGGAAACGGTTACTCTGGCTTTCGTTTGTTGTTTTCGTCGAAGGGGTTTATGTATGCTTTATTGACCACAGCATTCCCTCCTATGCAGCCGCCTTCGTGTTCCCTTCAACCCGATCGATAAACGCTAACGGATTGATATATATATATATATTACGTAAGCTTGTTGTTCATCGTGTCATCAGTCCTAACGTATAGAAAACAAATACGTCATCATGGCTTTATGAAAGTAATCAAGGCGAGGTTCTGAACATGCTGAATCCGAAATTAAGGTACAGCTTTTTTTATCTTCAATTCATCTAATCCTTTGTTTAGAATAGTAGAAAGTGAGTGCTTTAGCAACTGACAAGTTCCGTTCAAGTGCATTCATTTCATATGTGAATTATAGAAATTTAAATATAATACATACATTTGACTAATTATAGTCTATCTGGTTGACATTATTGAATAAATAAGATCTGTATAGATGATAAATTACCTTAATAGAATTAGTGGTTTTTATTTGTATTATACGGTACATAGACAATAAGCATGGTTAGAAAGGTTTACGTTACATTCCTAGATTGTACGAATCTGCGGCTTTGATCTAGTTCTTCTCAGGACTCAGGACAAGGATTGTGTTCGTATAGATTTTTGTATGTAGTCAGCTGCTGACTCTTGCCATTCAATCCAATAAAGCTGAATTGACGGCATCCTAGCAAGCCCGAAGTTCACAGTAATTGCTGGGCACTAGGCGTCCAATTGGAAGGTTTCAGTGTCTTTCGTATCAGTCCATACTCCTCAATCCGTCCAAATGTGTCAAGTCGACAAATTCGACCCGAGTAGTCGTGAACTTTTCCTATGCATTTCGTTCTCAACTGATGCGCACTAACACAGATGTATATACAACCCGTAACCCTCCATTAGATTCAGCCGTCGGCCATTTCAGATCTGAATCCCTGTTTCAGTTTCGCCTTATGCACAGTCCATGTTAGATAGTCGATATCTAAATGCTTTCAAAATCCATCAAGGAAAACCGTCCAATCTGTTTTTGTACGGGCAGACTAGCTACATAATTCTGTTCACGTCTCTACCTGTTGCAATCAGCGAGAGCCTTGCCTTAGTATGCTATAATACGTTCGTGTTTTTGAGTAAACCTTTCTTTGCGCGTAGATGTTGAGGACGATTGATTACAGTTTGAAAACACTGCGGCTGCGTCTACTGCGATTGTATATGTCATATGTATATATGCATTGACGATTCGGT